GCAGTGACCTATGGCTAGGGTTAGGGCTAGAATTAGGATTAGGGATAGGATTAGGGCTAGGGTTAGGGATAGGATTAGGGTTAGGGATAGGATTAGGGCTAGGGCTAGGGTTAGGGATAGGATTAGGGCTAGGGTTAGGGATAGGGTTAGGGGTAGGATAAGGGTTGGTCTTAGGTTTCTGCAGTTGTAAACACACGCATGCGCAGTACCATCGAAAACATCGTCGTAGTTTCTCTCCATTGCGCATGCGTATCTTTTTCCGGCTAGCATCGGCCGAATATTTAAGCAAGCATGCGTAAAAAATTCGGGTATTAATTTTCTTTTCATCTATGTTGTATAGAACAGAGATGGAACTGTCGTACAGCCGAGCCCCGTTATGTGGGATAAAAATGGCTCTAAAACTTTTAGGGGCCCAAAAAAAGTCAACAACTTAATGTTTTTTTAATTTATAGAAAATTTTCTTGTATTGTTTTTTTTTACTTTCTTTATATTTCTTTTTTAAAAACCATGGTTTTTGCTATAAGATCCCCCTTAGTTTCACAAGTAGGCCTATATATATGTATACGAATTGCGAGAAAGGGGAGTTAGGGCTCTATTTTTAGCTCCGCCACTCTTTTAGAATGTGTAAAAATTTAATATTCTACACTTCTTTTATGGCATGCAAGGATATAAAGAATCTTCCCCTTCCTTTCTCTGAGATCCACTGACCAAAAACAACACTTGGCCAAACAACTATTTTCTTGGCATTTTTTTTTTAAATTCCTACCACGACAATCCAGCGTCTCCACCGACCACCATGCAAACTTCGCGTTTCTCTAGCGCTGTCTCGTTGTATTCTATTTGCCAATCATATTGTGGGCCTCCATTCCCCCTCTCACTTCTTTCAAGTTGTATTGGTGTATCACTAAAACGACTGTATGGCTGTTTATCTCTCTTGTCATGTTTTCGAGTCAAATAGTCGAAACTAAATCAGTACAAGCTTTTAATCACGTGAATAAATACACATTTTACTTCTGTATAAAATCTTTTAATTCTTTTGCAAACCCAACAAAAAAATACAACCATTCTTCGACTATTTTTCGCGTTTAGAATTCACAAATTAAATTATACCTACCAATTTTTTTATATTTGCTACTTTTTTCATATTTTCAGTGGTAGAAAGAAAAGATCTACAAGAGATTTGATGGAATCAGCTTAAAAGTAAAAAACGTAACAAGAAATAGAAACCCAATAAAGAAATTAGAAATTAAACATAATATTTTGTAACGTTCATTGTTAATAAATTGAAAATCAACTTACTATAATCGGACTGTTTAAAAATAAGTTGATGGTAAAAAGCTGTTTTATTTTAAATAAACAATAGTAAAACTAATGTTTTATTGTTTAATATATCCTTACAAACAAATAATATTTAAGTAGATTAATACTTATCAACGATAAATAGACGACCTTGTAAAGTGTTTGTTAATAAATTATCTTTTCGCCGTCCTCGTGAGTCAATGGTCACGCGCTGGTTTTATATCTGGGGTCGCCAAACTACCGTAGTACGGCCCGCGTTCCGGATGTGGCCCGTGAGGTCCTATCATCCGGCCCGCGGAGACTTTTTTGTACACGGAAAAAAACGTTTGTTGGTGATGGCTGAGGAACTTTGCTCAGAAAAATCACGACATGCCTAGAAACAAATTGGCCCCCGAACTGAAATTTGATAATTAATGCGGCCCTCGGACTAAAAAGTTTCGAGACCCCTGTTTTTCCCACGTTTTCTTTAACTTGCTTTCGTCTCTGTTTTTCCAATCAAATCTTGCGATCGAAATTTCTGGCACTTCCCGGTTAGCTAGCGCGCTGAAATTTTCAGGGAAGCTTTTTTTTTTGATGACAATAGAATATTCAATTGTTATTATTACTAAATTGATCCATGGAAACATTTTATTGAGCATTTTAGACCGCTATATAATTGTAGTAAAAACGTGGGGAAAAAGGGACATCACCCAGCAACTGTAATTTGATAAAAACAAGGTTCGGTACTCTCCCTCTTTTTGCTTACTGAGTAGTGTTCAAACAACCGTAACAACTGGTGGCCAGTATGGGGGAGACGATATGGTCGAGTGGTTGGGCACACGATTGCTATCCCACTCGACACGGGTTCAAATCTATGTCTTCTAGTCAGTAACGTATTCACACAACGTGTTTTTACGAGTTGTCTTTTTACGAGTTGCCTTCGTTTACCCAAAAAAAAGTGAAAAGATAAAATCGATAGCAAGATTTTAATGCAAACAGACAAAGACTAAAAAATAGAAAATAATAATCATTAAAATAGTTTTAAAAAACCCACGTTTTCTGATTGAACTAAAAAGTAGCAAATAAATGCTATACATAACAATAATGCAAGCGATCACTCTACTATAAGCGATCAAAAACGTGGGGCGCCGTGATTTTCTTACAGTTTCTAATACTGTTGACTCTCTACAAGCTCCCTAATAAAAGTCAATAGTATTATCTAATCAATAGTAATATAACTTTTACTTCGGCGCCCCACGTTTTTCATCGCTTATAGTAGAGTGATCGCTTGCATTATTGTTATGTATAGCATTTATTTTCTACTTTTTAGTTCAATCAGAAAACGTGGGTTTTTTAAAAACTTTTTAAATGATTATTATTATACTATCCAAACACTAAAAGACAAAAATAAATGTTACTAAAGATAATGTCTACCTTGGTACCGAACTCGTGACTTGCGTGTTACCATCCTGTTGTTCAGTGTTCAGACTTTTTCTCCGGGGGGGCCTCTTGAAATTTTCGGGGGGGGGGGGGGGGGCGGTAGACTTTTTTCAAGGGGGGGGGGGGCGGACACTGTTAAAAGTATATATTTTCTATATAAAATTATATAAATTTCATTTCGTCCGGGGGGCGGTAAAAAAAATTTCGGGGGGGGGGGGGCTTCGCTTCCCCCCCCCCCCCCCCCCCCCCGAAGAGATGCCTGGAAGAAACTCTGCTGTTGTTGGACCACGATTTGAAAATAAGCTACCTAGAGATCTGCCTTCGCTACAGCACAAAGCTTTCAATTATCATCCTGCAAGTGCTCATTTTGTTGTTAAAAACGATTTGTAATATTAACAAAAAAGTCTGTCTGTGTGACGTAATAAGCTGTCAAAATAAATGAATAAATATGATTTTTGTTTTATTTATAGAAAGATTGCGCTACGGCAACAACTATAATCAAACACCGGTTAAATGAAAAATGTAAATGAAAAAGTTGTACTTAAACTAAAAGTTGAAGTCTTCGCTTGATACGCCTAGCTATAATATATATATATATATATATATATATATATATATATATATATATATATATATATATATATATATATATATATATATATAGTGCATTCGATCGTTCTAAATAGAATCCTACAATATTGACACGGTGCTACACGACATTTGATGGAGCGTCCGAGGCTTTTGTAAACAAGTTAATAAAAAGTCTAGTGACATTTTAATCGCAATTTCCTTATGTTATCCATAACAATTTTTAATTTTTTGTGACCGAATGAAAGGATAAAAAAAAGACAACTATATTAACCTATATCAACGGAAATAGTTTTATTTTAACGAGTAGGCCTACACGATGCTCAGTTTAAAAAAGTAGTAAATATCATCCTAGGCCAATCGATGCTCAGTTTAAATGTTCTTAATTAATTTTTTGTGACCGAACGAAAGGATATTTTTGAAAACTTTCTTCGGCAATATTGTTGTAAATTATGTCAGGAATCGATTGGTAAATATTTCAAGTCGCTAAGTGGTCTGGTTGCCGAGATATGGACCAAAAACTGCATTTGTTCGAGGTTTTTTGGCTTTTCCGGGAAATCCAGAAAGGAATTCCGGGAATTTTTTTGGCCCACAATCATCCTCGGAACTTGCTTAACATATTTGCTTTTGGAACTAGTCCTCGATATTGCTTCATCGAGGAGGAGATACGACTTAAAGCTGGGGACACACATCCATCCAGAAATGACGAGTTAATAATCGCAATTGTCCAGTATGGAAATTGCGCCAAAAAACCAAGTTGTAAGGGCTTTTATTTAGCATCATATACTATACTATCCCCAGCCGCCTTTACTTTCCCTAACGTGAGTTAGGTACCCATCAGAGTTGGGTGGACTCAGAGACGGTCTACTGACTTGAACCCGGATTCGAACTCGAGACTTACAATCTACAATAGAAAGACGATTTGAAAATTCCGACCATCTGCATTCTACTTATGACTACAACTACCTATGTATGGAAGAAGTGTCTACCTACACGAACGACATGCATACTAATTTGATGAAATGGCGATAATTCATGTACCATTTTTAATTAAAATAATAAAATTAATCATTTAGATCAGGGGTCTCCAAACTACGACCCGCGGGCCGGATGCGGCCCGCGAGGTCCTCTCATCCGGCCCGCGGAGATCCTTTTGTCCACGAAAAAAAAACGTTTGTTGGTGATGGCTCAGGAACTTTGCCCAGAAAAATCAAAGACATGTCTGGAAGAAACTGGCCCCCGAACTGAAAATTGATAGTTAATGAGGCCCTCGGACTGAAAAGTTTGGAGACCCCTGATTTAGATTATTAGATAAGCAAGGATTATCATTCTAAAATAAATTAAAACATAAAGTGTAATTTGATAAAACCTATTGTTATTGTAACAATCATTACGGTGTTTATTAAACTTTTTATAACGCAGAAAGCATTCAGAGTGAATATGACTTAATCCTTATTACATTCCATAGATCTTCTGAGTTATTGTTTCTCATTTTGTAAACTTAATTAAATGTCAGTAAAATAATCTACAATCCCCTTGCAGTATCTAATTAAATATATGTTATTATGGAAGCTGCGTAGCTGCTAAATTAAACAAAACGTATGTGTGTGCACACGACCCGTGCAACTATGAATAAGAAATGGGTTGTGCATAAATTGAATATATAGACGTGGCGAATTTACGGCAAAGAGGCTCGGTAGTAGGGCGTGGCTAGGATTTGGCTTACGTGTCAGCTTAAAGTTACTTACCTAAAGGAAGAGCAGGAACGGACACATTGCGTGGCGATAGATGATTGTATAAGAAAGAACTCGTTACATTTCCGAACGAAACGTTCGCAAAGTCTTGCATTGATTTAAAGGGAGGAAATACACGGTAAGTGATTGCTTTCATTATATTCAAAATCCTTTCTGAAAATCATTGAATTTAACAAAATAAAAATAAACAATATAAAAGGAGTTGTAATAAAATATGTCCAACGTCGTGAAAATGTAAAACAATATATTAAATATATACCACGCCATGACTGCTGAAAAGGCATTATTTTATATAAAAAATATTTTGTTTGTACTTTAAAATTTAAATGTATTAGGGAGTCGTCCATAAATGACGTCACGCTTTTTATGACGATTTTTACCTCACCCCTTCCCTCCGTCACACGTCATCACAAAAAGCCACACACAGTAGCGTACGCAGGGGGGGGGAGCAGGGGGAGCTGCCGCTCCCCCTCTGGCCATTTTCAGCAAAGTGGCGCCTTTTTGGAAACTTTTTAAACTCAAAGTTTTAAACAATGATATTTGTTAAAAAAATATTTTTGGTCGGCACATCTATGTAAATCACAAGATTTCTTTTCATGCAGCAATTAACATTATTGTACTAGTCTAGTAGTGTCTCTGTTTACAACATGTATTAACAGCTGCATCAGTTTGCCATTCTAAAAATAACCATTACGATGCATTGCAATGTTTAAAAAACCTCTGCGGTAGTACCACTTGGCAAGAGGGGTGTTAAGTTTAAGGCAACTGTATAATGTATTTGCGTACGAATAATTGAATTAGAAAATGTTATACATAAAACTTCACACATAATTACTTTATATATACAGTTTGAATCGTGTGATTTATTTAAAATAAATTACAATACAGAAGCAAAGACAACTGATGTGGCACCTCTATTTAAATTTACTTATGAGCAAACTGCGTAGTGGTGGGGAAATTTTGACAAGGTCAACAACGTCATCAAGTTAAGTAGTAGTATTCTTACAGTTTGGGCGATAGTGATTACGATTACAAATTATATGAAACAGTTACAACCCCCCTCCCCCATGGACCCCTCTGTAAAAAAAAATATTGTCATAATACCACTGCTACTTATTTAAATCTATTTCTGTAATATATATTTGTGTAATATATATTTGTGTAACATATATGTATGTTTAGAACAGTCATCTAAACACTGACGCTATGTTCACTCTGAGTAGGTTATCTCCCCCCCCCCCACACACACACACACCTCACCACCTCAATTGTGTAGAGCGACATTAATGTCACACCTAGGTATACACTGGGTTGGATAATTGACCTAAAGTGAAGGGACAGTGGTGAATGAAGTTGAACCCCCCCCCCCCCAACCCACCCCGAACTGATCTGTTAAGTACATGTAGAAAAACGCGTAATCATGTACCAAAGTACCATGCTGTCAGAAAATTAGCTTTTTAAACGTAAAACTCTGTAAATATTGTTTTTGCAATTTCCAGTAAAAAGGTGTGTGATGAATACAGTGATCTAATCCATACATATCACTATGTTAAAAAATGATCTTTAAAGAACAATAAAAAGCAGTAGTTAATGATCTGAACTAAAAGGTCGATATTTAGTTAATCGTATGCTGTTATTCCGAATGTTTTTCTATTATATCGAAAAGCGTAGTTTTATACCAACTCTGATTTTAAAAACTTTCACTGATACTTTAGCATTTATGATGACAATATATTAAATTCTGATTATAGACAAAAACATTTTGTAAACACGAATAGTGTAAAACAATTTCAATATATTCTAAAGTAATTATTTATTTGTTTTGACATTTATAATTAAATGTGTAGATATATACTATATTTATATTAAGAGAGTGATTATTTCTCCTATTTTACTTGTCTTAAATAATTTCCCAGGAATTATTATGTAAGAATTTGTTTTTACAAGAATTACAAAACAGATTGTGTTACGTTCATGGTTGTTGGTTCTAGTGTGTGTATATTTTTTTTTTTTGTTTAGATTGATACAATTTTTGTTTTGTCGGCCTACATTGTGTGTTTTTTCTTATTTCTTCAGAGTGCTACTTTCAATCTATGTTACATTATAGCGAAGTAATGACATACAGCTAGTAATTATATATATATATATATATATATATATATATATATATATATATATATATATATATATATATATATATATATAAAATACACGTATAAAGAACGTGTTAAAAATTCGGCGCCTTTTTTTGCTCTTTTCGCTCCCCCTACAACGAAAACCTGGATACGCCTCTGGCCACACACCCCTAAAATGACGTCACACCTCAGCCTACAACCCCCCCCCCTCAATATTTTATTTAAATTTTGATCAATTCCTAAAACGCAAAATAACGGCTATATCTCGTTTTCTAACATTGCTTTTTTATAATGCAAGTGACGTCACACCACCTGAACCTCCCTCCCCCTTCCCCCTCATCAAACACGGCCACAAAACTACGGACCCTCCCCTCCCCCCTACGAGTGTGACGTCCTTTATGGACGACCCTTTATAAGTATATATATATATATATATATATATATATATATATATATATATATATATATATATATATGTGTGTGTGTTTGTGTGTGTGTGTGTGTGTGTGTGTGTATGTATAATGCAATGTATTTGTGTGTCTTTGTTTGTCTTTTACGCATTACTACACCTTTCATCACATCGCCATGAAATTTTTGGGTAGATTTTACACCGTTCATCCGAGTGCCATGAAACTTTGCGAAGATGATAAGAATACACCCGATAAGGATTTTGCGATTAAATAATTCGTTTTGAACAGTTTGATAGACTATGGATAAGATGGGGTATTATAGTCGTTCACTTAATTGAATCAGGCGCGTCGGCCGGCGCCCCGACATGGTGCGATTTGGCGCCCTGAGCCATCTTGTTAGCACTATCACGCCTACGTTTGTTTTAATGAGCACCCTACAACATTGACACGGTGGCACACGACATTTGATGATTAAACCGAGCCTGTGACCGTATACGGCGCCCCTGCAATACAGTAACGGGGGGCTCCCGACAGCGCCCGACACTTGGGCGGCCGCCGGATTGTTTTCTAACTCACTATCACGGAAAGTAGATATCATACACGTGAGGCTTTCATACAGCAGGGCGGTAGTGTGGGCAAACCCGTGCCCGACAAGAAATATAGTGCAGTCATTTTTTTACATTTAAATAGTTCAGTTAGAAAACAAGGTCACACGTCTAAGAATATATGATTGGTACCGCAGAATGATGAAATTCCATCGAACTTTCTTCTGAGACCCATGAAACGCGCGGGAACGGGCACGCTCATTTTGATTATGAAAACTAAATACAACATTTAATAAAAGTACATACCTTCAGTTTTATTGTATTGGTGTAAGGTTGTGGTTGTATAGGGGTTAATGTCGTGGGATTAACGTCAATGGAGGTTTTGTCAATAATTAATAAAGTAATATTAAATTCCCGAGTTACCACAGCGGGTGTTATCCAATCAAGTGACACGACTGAACAATAATAATACCAGTAAGTAAGTAAATACTCTTCTTTAGACCTGGCGACCCAATGGGCAGATGAAGTAGTGTTCATATTTTTCTTGAACCAGGCATAGGAAGAGATATTGTGGACAGCACTATGACCAGCTGTCTTTACTTTCCTTAACGTGAGTTAGGAACCCATCAGTGTTGGGTGAACTCAGTTACGTTCTAAAGACTTGAACCCAGATTCGAACTCGAAACCTTGATTTAGCAGTTGAGCTCTCTACCGCATGACCACGCCGTCCCATAAAGAATATTAATAGTATAATGCAATTTTCGTTCGACCCCCCCCCCCCCACCCCCCCCCCCCCCCCCCCACCATCTTTTGTTAAATGTGATGGTTTAATCTTAAGAAAACCATGAACTGATGATTTGTATTTTGTCCACAGAAAATTCATCATGAACCAGTCACATTTCTGGCTCTTTGTTGCCACCTCTGTTCTGTTTGTGATGTTATCACAGTCATCTTTCTTGGATAACTTGGATAAATTAAGGTGCTTGATTTACATTAAATACTCTTGATATCAACGTTTCTTTCACACACATTCTCCTGGAGTGAGGGAGGAAGCATTTGAAGTTTCAGTGGGGGTTTCAAATATTCCGGGGTTGTGAGGGGGGGGGTCGTGGTTTAATGTGTCTATTTTCAATATAAATTATACATTTTTTTTTTGTCTTGGAGGTGGAGAGGGCTTAAGTGTTCTAAAGGCGCAGTTCTATGCTCCCCCAAATCTTCCTACCACCACCCCCCCCCCCACACACACACCTTCACCACCACCAAAAAATGTCTGTAATACTGCTCAGTATTAAGCATTTCTCATTTATACACTTTTTGGACATTTAAGTAAATTTATTATTATTATTTTATTTTTTTTTGCCTGCATAACTTAACCTTAGCCTCAAGTCTAATACATCTTATTTACCAACTAGTCAATTACATTCAAACATTTGAATAGGTAGTATAGTGAAAATCTCATCCAACCATTTTTGCTTACATGGATAAGATGTTATGATTACCATAATCTGTTTTTAATTAGTGGCTAACTTTGTCGCTTAAGGCAATGTGTTATTTCGTGTATGATTTGTCTTGTAATGTGTCATAGTTTGTTTAGCATCTCACTGGGAAACTTACTTTAAACTGAATTCTGACACTGAGGCGAACTAGATTACAATCGAACTTAATAATAACAACATGTTTGTTACTCTAATGTGCTAATGCATACTTCAGGTCGAATCATCCACTGTATTTGTAATAGGCTTGAATAGCTTGTTCCAAATTATCGTTGCCAGAAAGCATATTTTTCAATCAAAATTGAATATTTTATAATATTCGAGAAATAAGTTCAAAATCACTTCCGGTTTTAATAAGGCTAGAAATATTCGAACAAATAATTACCAGTAACATAATCGTAATTTAGCTAACACTTGCATTTTTAATTTGGATTCGTTTAGTAGAGTCAGGGTGTATTGGTGATAGGGGATGTTATATTATTTAATATAGATAAACTACTAGGCTATACTCCATTGACCATTTTTGTGTATTTTATCATGGAAAATAAATGTTGTAATTTTCATTGTTTTACTCTCCCTGGCCACTCCGGTTGACTCCAAGAAGGGTTTTCAGGACTGTTATTTTAAAATATTTGAATAGATACAATAATTAATAGCGGCTTTTCAACGGTTTATATACAATACACAATCATGAAAATGGGTGTATTCTATGGTTCCCAAACAGCTTTAATTTTTAAATATAACTATAATTTTATTGCTTGCTATATTTTTTAAAATATTTTTTTAAAATTTATTATGCATACATAGAATTTCATCTATTTTCTTTCCTATGTGATGAAACTAACATTACCATTAACACAGTAGTGAAAAAAAATATTAAAATATCAAATATTAAATATATCTGAATGATGTCTTGCTTGTAATCTATTATTAAACACTTTCCCAAGCCCTATACAAAAGCGAGAAAGTATTAACATTCAAGAGTTCTTAGCCTGGATTTCATTGGGTGGGAAACGAGTCGGTCGATGTGAAGAGATTGCTTGCGGACTTGTGGGCCCGGATGCGAGGTTGGAACAATGTTTATGTTTGTGTGGTTTTTAAATATATTTTTTTTTAAAATAGCTAATTGTCAAATAAGTGGGCGAAAGTCGAGTATTAATTAATGTTTGTGTGTGCACATTTTGTTTTTATTTATATAATTGAGTCAGTTCAGAACAGTGGCCGACATAGCGTACTACTGAGTCCTGCAAAGCGTGGATGAGGCCCGAAAAGTTGTCTCAAATTTGTAGTTAATTATATATATTATTAGACATAGAAGATACAGACCTTGGTGGACAAATGACTTGGACAGATATTGACATTGAGGTGGCAGGACAAAATTTCCGAATATAGAATTACAGAGCAAGACAGGGCAGGAGCTTGCAGTTATCTATATATATATATATATATATATATATATATATATATATATATATATATATATGAAAAGCAATGTATGTTTTTGTGTCTGTCTGTCTGTCTTTTATGCATTACTACACCTCTCATCACATCGCCTTGAAACTTTGGGAAGTTGTTGAGAATACTCCTGGCGAGTTTTCTTCGAAAAAAAAAATTTCAAATACGCAGGGTGGCACCCCGGCAGGGCGCGATTTGTTTTCTCTCTATATACGGTATATAAAAAATAATAAGTCGATTTCATTTTCATACCATTCATCCAATCGATATAAAACTTTGGGGAGTTCATTTGAACACTCCAGGAAAGGGTTCAGTAAAAAAAAAAATCATTTTTAATTTCACAAGGGCGGCGCCACGGGAGGTGCGATTTTTCTCTATACACAGTATTTAAAAAATAAAAGACGATTTTGGTTTGACACCATTCGTCCGATCGCCATCAAACTTAAGGGAGTTGACGAATACTCCCGAGAAGGTTTCTGGGGTGGAAGAGGGGGTGGTGGTGGGTGGGTGGTGGTGGGAGGGGGATTTGATTTTGCATGGGCGGCCCCGCGGCAGGATGCGATTGGGCGCCCTAGTTTTTCCCGTGAGCGCTATGGCGCTATGGTCTAAACAGTGTGATAGACAATGGATAGGATGGGGCGTTACAAACGCTCACTAAATTGAAACAGGCGTGTCAGCCGACGTCCCGATATTTATGATCCAAGCGCAGGCATTGTTTACATTTAAATAACTCACTTTTAGAAAACAAGGTCATGCGTCTAAGAATATAAGATTGGTAACGAATGGATGAAACCCATCTTATATATTTCGTCGGACTTTCTTCTATTCCCGCGGCAACGCGCGGGGACGGGTACGCTAGTAGTTAAATAAGAAATTGGGTAGCTTCCATTTAGGAAAAACGGCCTATGACCAAAAAGCATTCAGTCAAGTGTTTTTCGGGTGAACGGTCGCCTCCCAATTTCAATGGGTGGTTGTTGAAACTTTCAAGATGCGTTAGTATCCAATCACATCGCAAGAATATCACATTTTTTTATTTAATTAGACATTAAATTAGTCGTTAAAATGTATTTAAAACATTACTTACTTCAAAAATAAAAAGGGAGATAACAAGTATAAATATTAGCAATAGCCCGATCAGGTTAGCCGACACACTAAATTGCTAGTCACGATTGGTTGAGGTTTTTTTGACCGAAAGTCGACAGCGGACTAGAAGGGTAAGGTAATGTTCTTTTAGAGATCACAAGCGAATGATTGTGTTTCAAGCAACAATTTTTGCCGTAGATCTAGGTGATACATAAATAGTCAGGTTATCTCCCCTTCTAAGTACGCATACGTGAAAAAAACGGTGATCAACAGCATTTAATTTTGATATACCCTTTTTTATAATTGAATTAAGTAATTTAAAATTAATTATTAATCACCAACAAAATGGCTAATATATTAAACAATAGATATTCTTGCATTGTTGCCTGAGTCGAATGTATCCTAAAAGTCGGAACGCAATCGTGTGTCAAAATTAAGTTATACATTTTTTTACAACCCACACTAAAAATACAACAGACATTGTGAAAAGCGTATAATTATCAGTAACGTACACATTTAACGCTTCACCAGAAATTATTTAAATCTTTAAAATTACGCCGTTTTTTACTTTCTCGTATATACGAAGTATAGAGAAAGTATTGTAATCGTGCAAAAAAAAAAATCGAGATTTTTACAGATCTCGACGTTTTACACCTCACTGATACGGAAAAACATAATTTTGCAATCTTGTCCGTATGTCTGTGTGTGTGTGTGTGTGTGTGTGTCTGTGTGTCCGTGTGTAAACATGATAACTTGAGTACCGTTACAGCTAGGTTGATGAAATTTCATATATAAGTATTTTATCAAAATCGTAGATCCGTATCAACTTTCGAGCGATTTCCGATAACCGGAAGTGGTACTTTTCCTACTTTGAATTTTTCAAAAGCCTATAACTTGAGTACTATTTCAGATAGATAAATGAAATTTTACATGTAAGTAAAAGATCTAATTCTCTACCTTCTGTAAAATTTTGAGTAATTTCCGTTGACTGGAAGTAGTAATTTACGCTACTTCCGATTTCTCAAAAAACTAATGTAAATTTTAAAAGTACTAGTAATATTGCGCACTATTATGCGCTTTTTTATTTGGCGTTCACTTGGTGTGCAATTAATTTGTCTACGAGATTTTATTCTATTTTTAAAACTTTAAGTATTTAAAATGGATTAAAAATCATGTCTATAGCCCGAGTTCCCATCCCCTGTTATTTTATATAAGAATATTCGAGAAAGTTTAGGGGAGATCACTCCCGGTTTATTTCATACTACTACTCTAAATTATACAGTCTGTTTGTTTTTGTTTTTTTACTTTCTCGTATATACGAAGTAGGCCTATAGAGAAAGTCTTGTAATCGTGCAAAAAAAAAAATCGAGATTTTTACAAATCTCGACGTTTTACACCTCACTGATACGGAAAAACATAATTTTGCAATCTTGTCCGTATGTCTGTGTGTCTGTCTGTCTGTCTGTCTGTCCGTGTGTAAACACGATAACTTGAGTACCGTTACAGCTAGGTTGATGAAATTTCATATATAAGTATTTTATCAAAATCGTAGATCCGTATCAACTTTTGAGCGATTTCCGATAACCGGAAGTGGTACTTTTCCTACTTTGAAATTTTCAAAAGCCTATAACTTGAGTACTATTTCAGATAGATAAACGAAATTTCACATGTAAGTAAAAGATCTAATTCTCTACCCTCTGTTAAATTTTGAGTCATTTCCGTTGAAAGGAAGTAGTAATTTACGCTACTTCCGATTTCTCAAAAAACTAATGTAAATTTTAAAAGTACTAATAATATTGCGCACTATTATGCGCTTTTTTATTTGGCGTTCACTTGGTGTGCAATTAATTTGTCTACGAGATTCTATTCTATTTTTAAAACTTTAAGTATTTAAAATGGATTGAAAATCATGTCTATAGCCCGAGTTCTCATCCCCTGTTATTTTATATAAAAATATTCGAGAAAGTTTAGGGGAGATCACTCCCGGTTTATTTCATACTACTACTCTAAATTATACAGTCTGTTGTTTTTTTTATTTATTGGCTACACTTTCATATTTTCAGTGGCAAAAAGAAAAGAGCTGCAAGAGCATTGAAGGAATCAGTGCAAGCGTAAAAACTTGAACAGGAAAATTCCTCAGAGAAGTTACACACACCGACAACTACATTCGATGAGATTTAAATAAATATTAGATACTTTTATCAGAATTAAACAATGCAATTTTTTTTTAGTTTATTGGTCATTAATTGGATAAAAAATGAATGCATTTCAGACATTGTTTACAACTAAGTATGTAGTGAAAATAAAATTTAATTTTAAAATAAATAATCTATATACTACTACTAAGGCTCAGCTTTGTTTATGCTTTAAATATGTATATATATATATATATATATATATATATATATATATATATATATATATATATATATATATATATATATATATATATATATATATATATATCGCTAGATCTGAAGATCTGTTAGATTTCTAAAATGTGATAATAATATAATCCAAAGCATTTATTTACACAAAAATATATTTAAAGAAGTTTTTAAAATTAAGAATCGTCTTCGATTATATTAATATTTAATTATAAAAGCAAATAACTTTGACTAAATTGTGTCTCGTGCCGTAGGTGATCCTCTCTATAACAAAGATGCTCGTCTAATGTGTATATATGATAGGGGCCAGTTAAAAGTTTAATGCGTTATAATCTCTTATCCTAAAAAATACGTGTAATTGTTACTTCTATTAGGGTCCAACAATACGCTCAACCGATCTTCTAATTCGGTGAGAATTTTTTAGCTCTGTCGTAGGAAAAGTATAATGTACGTCAAATTAATGTTAATTAGTCAAAACAGAGAAAAGTATAAAAACACAAAGAATAATTGAAATTATTTTTTTAAATAACTGTTGCAGGCCTTAAATATTTTATATAAATACATATTTCTTAGCAATGGAATAGATTAATCGGGACATAATTTGGCCTAATTAAAAAACAATATGTGGTTTATGTTTTTTATTTGTCCATTTATTGTTTTCCGTAATACCAGAACAAAGTGATTTTCGCTTTTTAAAATTGAATTTTTGTTTAAACAACAATATCTTTCTATAACGATTAATAAAGTACAATCTGTTTTATTCTAAATATATTTTAAAAATTAATAATTAAAAAAAAATATCATTTAGAAAAATACATTTTTTAAAATAAATTCATTACGAAAACTATCTGAAATAACAATCCCTTTATCAAAACACGTTTGCTTTGCTGGCCATCTTTGTAATATTCATTTCATCATTTTTTCTTTCTCGTATACGAAGTAGGTGTATAGAGGAAGTATTTTAATCGTGCAAAAAAAAATTGAGATTTTTTACAAATCTCGACGTTTTAGACTTCACTGGGTTGGAAAAACATAGTTTTGCAATTTTGTACGTATGACTGTGTGTGTGTGTGTATGTGTGTATGTATGTGTGTCTATGTAATTCTGTATCAACTTTTCAGCGATTTTCGGTAACCGGAAGTGGAACGTATTCTACTTTTATTTTTTTCAAAAGCCTATAACTTAAGTACAGTTTCAGATAGATAAATGAAATTTCACATATAAGTAAAAGATCTAATTGTCTACCTTTTATCGATTTTTGAGTGATTTCTGTTGACTAGAAGTAGTAATTTAAGTTATTTCTGATTTCTCAAAAAACGCAAGTGATTTTATAAAGTACTGATAATATTCCGCACTATTATACACATAATGTTTGGTATTCACTTGGTGTGCAATTCTTTTTCTACGAGATTCTATTCTATTTTTAAAAATTTAAGTAATTAAAAAGGATTAAAAATCATGTCTATATCCAGAGTTGCCATCTCCCGTAGTGTTATATTAAAATATTCGAGAAGGTTAAGGGGAGATCACTCCTTTTTTAAAAAACAAGTATTATTAAAACAAAAGTTTATGTTGTTGAGTGTATCGTTACCAGAAAACAATAAAAAAGTATATTCAACTCTTGTAGAACAGATTTGAGGTTCCAAACGCTTTTTCTCCGAGTCAGGTCAATGCACCATATTGTAAATATCTTTATTGAGTTTAGTATATTGTATAACCTAGACAAGACAGTCTCCCCATGTGATGTAACCAGCAGTCATGATGACAATGAGAAAATATAATTCTTGTTTAATATGTTTTATTTGATCACACAAAAATGTATCGTACTTTATCCAGCCGTCGTGCAACCGTTCCAATCAAACACATTAATTATTACTGTATTGTTAAATAGTTTAAACAATTCATTACAATCATCACATTAAAAAACTATATTGTAAATTTAAAAATGTGTATATTTGTAAAATATGACCGATGTCTTACAAAGCTCTAGTTTTCTAAACAACCATAGAATCAATTTGGGAATAATTATATATTGCCAAGTCACGGGAATGGTTATTAACAAATTAGTTATATATTTTAAAATACAGCAGTAACAATTCAAAATGTAATAATTTTAATATATATATATATATATATATATATATATATATATATATATATATATATATTGCTATTACAACCGTTATTCTTTAGTTTTTATAAACATTTAGTTAACGAGAGACAAATGTTACTAGAATAAAGAGAAAAATAAGAATAAAAAAAACAACACCAAAGTCAGCACTAACAATGGGCTACATGTTACAAAACTTGGCTGAATATTTTCTTACATATTTACATACACAATTCTTGGTCGAAAGACACAGAAGTCTTTTTTTTCCTCGAATATTGAAAACAAAAAATGTCTGGGCTTTGCAAAAAAAAAAAATAATAATAATAAAGACTTGACTCAAAGACAGATGCACGTTTTGTTGGTTAAATAATTCAGTATGGTTTTAGCTTTTTTATTTTTACAGACTCGAATAATAAAATACAAACAAAATCTTAAAATAATGCTGAAAATGTAAAGTGCAAAAAAAAAATTAATTTTAGTCTGAATGAATACATATTCGCGTGGTGTTCTTTATCATCGCAATGACGTGACCTCCGAGCTTTGACCTACAGAGTTGAAATATCCACGCCAACGGAATGGACCTTGACCATGTTGCCGCCTTCTGCCTGGGGCTGGGAGCTGGGCGTCCTGTCTCGTCTGATGGAGGTTCGAACCATCTCCTTCAGCCTGTCCAGGGCAGACAGGTGTCTGGCTGGCTGCTCGACCATCTCGCTGATGAACTGAATGGAAGGCACCTTGTGCATGCCCGCCTCTTTTGCCTCCAGTCGCGCTGATTTACCATCGTCAAAGGCGAATCCTTTGTTCGTGTATCCTTATGAGATTTAAAATATTTAAATTTGAATTACTTCTAAATAAATATACAATATCGAAGTATAACGGGGTGGGTAATGCAGGACCAAAATCATACATGATAAGATCCTAAACTTTTATCGATATGGGTCTCCTTAAAAGACCATATATTGTTTGTCAGTGCCAAATATTTTCCGCTTTTAATAAAACGTTGTTTGTCGACAACAACAAAAAGTGTGAATATAACTGTTGATGAAAGAGGACTGGGCTTCTACCACGATTTGAAATTTTTAAAAAAAAATCTGTTTATATAAATATCAAAGTGTGTGTGTTGTGTGTGTGTGTTTGTCTTGTATGCATTACTACACCTTTCATCCGAAGTTGTTGGGGGAAAAAATTTGCAATTTCGCAAGGGCGGCGCCCTGCCAGGGCTCGATTCGTTTCTTCTCTATATACTGTATACATAAATATAACTCGATTGCAGCTTGACACCGTTTATCCGATTGCAATGAAACTTTGGGGAGTTGATGAGAATACTCCATGGGCAGTGTTTTTTCCAGACTTTTTTTCTCCGGGGGGAGGGCACTTGGAATTTTCGGGGGGGGGGGGGGGGCGATAGACTTTCTTTGGGGGGGAGAGGGATTTTGCAAAAAAATATTCTTTTTAATTTCGCAAGGGCGGCGCACCAGGTGGGTGCGATTCTTCTCTATATTTATGGTATATAAAAATACAAGATGATTTCGGTTTGACGCCGTTTATCTTATCGCCATGAAACTTTGGGGAGTCAATGAAAATACTCCTGAGAAGGTTTCTGCGAAAAAAAAATATTTAATTTCCAATGGGTGGAGTCCGGGATTTAAATCTTCCAAAACAGTGCTCGGTACTGATGCAGGCTGGCTGCGTCTGCTGTACAAATGTAAAGGATGACATGAGTGTTTCAGTCTCTTTTTCAATCAACTAGATTTATACACATTAAAAACGGTTATGTATTACAGCCAATACATTTTATTTGTGAACTCTGTAGCTTTCTGAAAATGTTTTTTCTTGCTTATTAAGTAATTTTAGTATCAGGTCTTCGATTTCTTTAGCTTTTTCATACATCAAAAACTAAAGTAAATTTGTAACAACTATACATTATAAAGTAAAAAGTAAAACAATCATACATCAAAAAGTAAAGTAAAAAGTACATATATCGTAATTAATTTCCATAAACTCGATAAAACACAAGTAAGATAGACTGTTTAAAAGAGTAATTTACTATACAAAAATAAACTACTAAAAACGAATATCCAACCTTGCTCGATTGTTGTAAGCTTTCCGTCCAGACCAATCGTTTTCAACTTCTCCACGTGACCATGTCCGTAAGCTTCACACGGATAGGCTGGTTGGTCGTGACGTGCAATGTCGAGTCCTGATTGGTTAAAATTTATAACTTTTAAATCTCTCACTGATTTATATATTTAAAATTTTCAATATATTTCATCTCTGGTTTAAATTCAATGAGATAAAAATCCCATTATGTGCTGAGATTGCATCGCTTTAAATCACTACAAAATTCTTGAAAATAAATGACGTCACACTCGTAGGGGGAGGGGGGGTCCGTAACTTTGTGACGATGTGTGATGAGGGGGAAGGGGGAGGGTTCAGATGGTGCGACGTCACACTTCTGCATTATAAAAAGCAATTTTAGAAAACGAATTTTAGATGTTATTTCGCGTTTTAGAAAACTTTTTCAATAAATTGTAATAGAAATTGATTAAAATACTCCATTTTGAAAAGATTTTAGAAAAATATCGATATTTAAAAAAAAATGCAACTGCAATTTTGAGTGGGGTTGTAGACTGAGGTGTGACGTTATTTTAAGGGGGATCTGTTTTTTTGTGACGTGTGACAGAGGTGAGGCGGGGGAGGTAAAAACCGTCAAAATGCGTGACATCATTTATGGATGACCCCTATTTTTATATTTCAGTGATTGTTAAACGTTAGATATATCAAAATATCAATTAAGTGTTTTAGGAAAAAGTTTTCACACAATAATCCGTTATATTATAGAATAAATGCAAAACCAGGTTGCATTAACATACGATCAAAACACAGGAAAGTAATATTGCCTTCGACAATGTCTGTGCAATCAATGTATTATTCTTTTAAAATTCTTTTCTTTTTCTAATAAGCGATTGCAAATATATAATAATACCAACCACCAAAAAGAGTAATAAAAAAGAGCTCTTCAGACAAACAAGTTTACCTTTTCTCTCCACTTCCTCCGAAACTCTGAAAATCCCAACGAGCTTGAGAGTCCCGAACAAGATGAACCCCAGACCTGCACTCCAGACGATGATGGATGAGATAGCCACCAGCTGCCAAGCAAGTTGCTGTGGATTTTAGTAATACAGGACTTGATTTTTTTTGTTTTAAATCTAGGTTAATTCATCAAAACCGCGTGATGTCTCTACATGAATATCTCATCCTTCTTAGACCAAGTTCACATTGTAAAAACACAGTTCACTCCCGTTCAATATAATTGTCTAACAAACGACTAGAGAAAAAGATCATCTCCTCCATAAAAAAGCTTGAATTGTCTAACAAATAACTAGAAAAAAATATCTCTTCTATAAAATGCTTGAATTGTCTAACAAATGGCTAGAGAAAAAGATCATCTCCTGCATAAATAGCTTGAATTGTCAAACAAATAACTAGATTGAATTGTTGGAACAAGAAAAAAAACTCGTTCATCCAAACCTTATATTATTAGAACAAAATTTCTTCTTAAAAAAGGGGGGGGGGGATGTTAGGTTACTGGTAGTTAACTAACAGCTACATTTTTGGAAGAGTCTGTTATCGGAAATTGTATTTTCAATCATACACAAAACTTTTTCCTGTTGCCTCTTGCAGACTTTGAATTATCAGAAAGAAAACTCTAAACCATACTAATAGAAATTACATTTTCTGCCTACGGTACATTTTATATTATTAGAAAACAATATCTAGTTTATGTACAAAGTAATTAAAATAAATTTTAAATATTTAAAACAAAGCTCAATTTAATATTATAAATACTTTTCTCATACCATAGCCCTAACCCTAATTTGTGACCCTAAAACATTACAACAGATAGATCTAATACAAACAACATAACACACTCATGTTGAAACGACTATAGGGCTGGTAAGTAGGTCAACAGCCAGTCATATGGCTCATGCAGGTTTTATTGAGCCGTAGAACTGGTTGATGACCTACTTACCAGCCCTATTGCCGGACGGCACCAACACTCAATGTCAACTTACAGCGGCTGAGCGTTTGTCCCAGGCCATAAGAACACCAGACTCGTACTTGAGGACCGCCACAGCGATGGTGCCCCACACTCCGCCTCCAAAGTGGACTAGATAAAGTAAGTAGAAATAAAGTTTTCATTATACATCCTGACAAGTGCTGTAAACTTTACAGTCGTTTCCATTTGTGATACGCGCAACACAAACTTAAAAAAACAAAAATAATAATCTATAACTTAAAATGCAATCTCTCTTAGAGATCATTGTTAAAATTTCATATTAAAATCGACTTTGACAATTAGAAGAAAAAAGCTACACTACTAAAAAAATTACATTTCTTTTTAAAAGAGCATGCAGTAAGTTATTATGGTGCCTAAAAAACGAATTTATAGCATGAGCTTTACCCCACGTAATAAATATAAATGCTACTTTGGTCAATATTTTGTCGAAATTATCATTGTTTTATTTTTTCAAATTTTAATATATTTATTTCATAACCAAGGATTTTGACCAAGTGCCCCCCCCCCCCTTAATAGCTAGAAAATTGTAAAGTTCCCAATAGCGCAGACAGTCCATGGGAAAAATGATGTTAAGTTTATGTTTTTTATGACCTCCGCATAAGAAAGGTTGGGTATACGCCCGAAATACTCAAACCCGTCTTCTGAACACAATTCTTCCAGGTTGGTACTCGTGCGCTCTTACACTCGACCAAGCCGCCAGGACATTACGTTCTTCATGTACCACATGGGTCTCCAAACTTTTCAGCCCGAGGGCCGCATTAACTATCAAATATAAGTTCGGGGGCCAGAGTTTCTTCCAGGCATCTCATTGGGGTGGCATTTTTCCTCAGCCACCTACAACAAACATTTTTTTCCGTGGACTAAAAGATCTCCGAGGGCCGGATGAGAGGACCTCGCGGGCCGCATTCGGCCCGCGGGCCGTAGTTTGGAGACCCCTGATGTACCATAACGCTCACAGCATGAAACAAACCAAAACTTACTCCCAACAGCGTTCAGAGGGTCGTCGATCTCCATCCTCACCATGGCGATCTCCAGACCCTTCATGATAAAACTTGCTACGGCGCCGTTGATGGCCGCACCCCAGGGGCGCAAAACGTTACAGGCGCCACAGACAGAGACCTACAGATACAGCAATAGGTAGCAGAATAAAACGCTTTCATTATGTAGTCTACTAGAAATATGTAAGTAACATAATATATATATATATATATATATATATATATATATATATATATATATATATATATATATATATATATGTATATATATATGTTACTTTTATATTATATATATACATACATATATATGTTACTTTTATATTATACATAAATATATATATATATATATATATATATATATATATATATATATATATATATATATATATATATATATATATATATATATATATATATATGAAGAGAGATAGACCAAGGCCCTAAAAGTCATAAGACAGACGTAATTCTGTCCAAAAGAGCAGTTAATATTTACTGAAGTCTTAGCTTTCTTGATGGGGTTAAATATCACCATGTAATGAAAGGTCAAAGGTTGAAAAGATTAAACTTACCAGTCCGACAAAAGCTCCATTAATGACAGCCAAAATGTTCCAAGTGTTCCCAAAAAGCCCGCATCTGATAAAAGATAATGAATTTGTTAGTTGTTGCCGTTGTGATTCTTTTTCTAAATGTATGTCTCGACAAGGTGCAGGGGCAGTGTTTCTTCCAGCCCCCCCCTCCCCCTTCCGAAAAGATGCCTGGAAGAAACTCTGTGCCGGGGGGGGGGGGTAGGTGTGGAAGAAGGCAAGGACAAAAAAGGTGAAGATGCCTGGATTACATAAATGACGACCTATTCGTGTCATACAGTCACACCGAAGACAACAGAGTACATGACAGATGGCCAGAGGCGTAGCGAGGGGGGGGGGGGGGGCATATGTCCCCGGGCGCTGACCTTAGGGGGGGGGGCGCCAAATTGAAAGTTTGAGGGGGGGTATAAATGAAAAGTCTGAGTGGGGGGGGGGGCGCCAAATTGAAAGTTTGAGGGGGGGGTATAAATGAAAAGTTCGAGGGGGGGTGCAAATGAAAAGTTCGAGGGGGGGGGGGTTGAAAATCGAAAAGATTGTCCCCGGGCGCCGGGTAGGGTCGCTACGCCTCTGCAGATGGCAAAGTGTTGTAGTGGTAACACTGGTGCACCAACGACCCTCGGGGTTATGAGATAGGTTATGTCACCTTTGGTCTGGAATTCAGTTCTTCCGAGAAATAAGCCTTACCTGTGTGTGACAAGGGCGACAAATCCTCCAACACTAGCGGAGATAAGCGTGTTGAAGACCGCCATGCTGATGATACTAGCGTCCCCTGGCTGGGTGATGTGGAGTTGGGAGGCGGCGTTGAAGGCCATGAACCCAAACAGGAGCACGAAGATGCCCAGAGTGGCAAGCTGTTTAGTGCAAGGGAGAAAGAAAACAATATCTTGTTAGCATTTTAGTTTAGCATTGCAGGAATTTTTTTTTAAATTCCGAACTTTTCATCAATCGTGCTGGAAAACAAATATTTTTTTTTTGTAATGAACATATTGTTGCACACTTACGAACTATAATCAGGTCTTGACCCACGTGTCTAGTTTAGAACGAAATGGTCAGTTAAAAGTGATCGAAATTTTAATAGGCAGTTTTGATCCATGACGACAGACAGATTGAAATACAGACAGAAAGACAAACAGAGGAAGCAAGTTTAAATATAAAGATTGTAAAATTTCATCATCTTGGTTATAAAGCACAGTGTTATTCTTCACATTTTTTATTTAGAAAAAAAATACTATTATCATTTACTCTTAAAACGAGTTAAGTTATTAAACTGGTCATTGGGAGATCACGTGATGGGCGCTGAAACTGAAATGAATGGTTACAGAAGAATTTGGTTCACACCAATTGGAGATGTCCACGAGATGTATGCCTATGTGATGAATGAAGTCACGGGTTATTGAATTGGAGGGGGGGGGGGTGTGGGGGAGGGGGGCTTTTCGGCGTCATAGATTTAGGCGCCACCAACCCCCCCCCCACCCCCGACACACACACCTCAAATACACACACACACATCACACACACCTATATATATAAGATTAGGCTATAAATTCCATCTTACGGCAATAGAATGTCCCCTGATTGTGACAGCTGTTCCCGTTTCTTTATGGAATCTTCCAATGCGGGGTCCAAGGAAAAACGTAGCGACAAAGGCTGACGTCCCTCCAACAAGATGGACTAGTCCAGTGCCACCGTAGTCCTGGAGTGGGAGACACAATTTTATCACAATTATCGATACGCTAATGACGATAACACAGACTTCTCAGGAATTGTAACCAAACCTCCTGTGTCAAGCTATGCTGTGAGTACAGTGAGGGTGACACAGACACCAACTCCTACCAGTTCAGACGATAACGTCTCAAAGTAATTGATTGGATCAAAAAACAATTTGAAATCTTATTTACACTTTTGTGTAACTACCTCATAACGAATGTTCCCTATAAAACCAAACCTACCTCATATCGAATGGTCTCCATCAGATTTACTTCATAACGAATGTTCCCTATAAAACCAAACCTACCTCATATCGAATGGTCTCCATCAGACCGCCGATCTCAAAGTCATATCCCTGATACAGCCAGCCCTGGGTAGTCCACCCCCAGTGGGTGACCACAGGGTAGATGAAGGCTGGGGACATGAAAACATTGGTCAGTTTGATGGGGGTCAGTTGACGTTGGTCAATTAACATACGCCAATTAACTTAAGTCAGCATTGTGTACCTGTTTTGAACTCTAATTGAGCGTGTACATTCATTTGTTGCTGTGTTTGTACCAATTACTAGGTTTGTACCTCAGTATTTGTGTGTGTACCCGTGTTTACTTGCATTTTATTTACACTAAGTCATTAAAGTCATTAGTACTTTATCTGAAGCCCCAAAACGTGTCATCCCAATACACCCTGGATTACGAATTATCTTGAAGTTTTAAAAAAAAGTTAGATAATTTGCCATGATTCAGTGTGTAAATAATCCCACACACTAATTTGCACCTGTCTTTGAACCTGTCACTAAGCATAACAAGTTCTTGTGTTTGTTTATGTGTCTGTAGCCGTGTTTGTACCTGACTTTGGACCTGTGTTGAGCCATGTGTTTTTACCTGTCATTAAGTATGTACTGTGTTTGTACCTGTGTTTTTACGTGTACTTGTACGTGTCACTAAGTATGCAATATAAATGCTTTGTACCTGTGTTTTACCTGCGTTTTGACTTGTTTTTATGCCTGTGTTTGTGCCTGGGTTTGTGCCTGTGTTTTTACCTGTGTTTGTACCTGGCATTAAGTATGTACTATAACTGTGTTTGGACCTGTGTTTGTACCTGTATTTGTACCTGTGTTTTTACCTGTGTTTGTGCTTGTGTTTGTACCTGTTTTTATCTGTTTTTTAACCTGTGTTTTACCTGTGTTTTTACCTGTGTTTGTGCTTGTGTTTGTACCTGTTTTTATCTGTGTTTTAACCTGTGTTTTACCTGTGTTTTTACCTGTGTTTTTAATTGTGTTTGTACCTGTGTTTGTGCTTGTGTTTGTACCTGTTTTTATCTATGTTTTAACCTGTGTTTTTACCTGTGTTTGTACCTGTGTTTTTATCTGTGTTTTTACCTGTGTGTTTACCTGTGTTTGTACCTGTGTTTGTGCTTGTGTTTGTACCTGTTTTTACCTGTGTTTTTACCTGTATTTTTACCTGTATTTTTACCTGTGTTTTTACCTGTGTTTTTACCTTTGTTTTCACCTGTATTTGTACCTGTGTTTTCACCTGTGTTTGTACCTGTTATTTTATCTGTGTTTGTACTTGTGTTTGTACCTGCCACTAAGCCTGACGTTTATCTGTGTTTTTACCTGTGTTTGTACATGTCCCTAAGCATAACTTTTACCTGTATTTGTACCTGTATTTGTACCTGTGTACCTGCCACTAAGCTTAACGTTTACCTGTATTTGTACCTGTATTTGTACCTGTGTTTGTACCTGTATTTGTACCTGTCATTAAGCCTAACTTTTACCTGTGAGGAAGAAGCTGTAGATGAGGTAGGCTTTGAACTCACACCTCTCAGACACAGCGCCAGCGACGATGGTCGTGGCGGTGGAGGCGAACATGGCCTGGTAGAAGAAGAAGGCGACCTTGGAATCGTGAAGGTCATGCATGGCCCAGTTGTGCCAGCCAATGAACTCGTTGCCTTTGCCAAAGGCCAGGGCGTAGCCAATCAGCCAGTAGGCAATGCCGGCGGTGACTGTGGACACATTGTAATAAAAAAAATATATCAAAATAAACAAAACAAAAAATATACCAGGCATGCCTCATTATAATATCATTAAATAAATTATTTAATTCTAAAAGCAATGGATAAAAACAGCACAATAGCGGTTCATCTATGGCTGTCTAGAAATATGCTGAAATTGTGGTGTGTGCTCAGTTTAAAAAAAAATTGAAATTTGCCAAAAACTGGGAAAGCGGACGTTTATGAAACTATGAGTTAAAAATGTAATGTTGGCCATAAAGGCAGCTTACAATTGTGTAACATGGGTCTTCTCCGAGCTTAATTAACATAGTTGTGTAAAGATTTTCGAGTTCACTATGCGAGCAATGCAATGTCGACTAGTGTAATTCGATCTTTATGTGTTTGTGTGAGGGAAAAAAACGTATAGAGTAATAGAGACATGCAACTTTAGAGAGAGAAATGATGCTTTCTTTCGCAGTGGCGTCGCTAGGCCGGGTGTCAACCGGTGCGTCACTTCACGTTGTCACCCTACCCCCCTTTTTTTCCCCTGTAATTTTTGCAGTTGCATTCGTCCACCCACCCCCCCCCCCCCCCCCCCCGTTAATAGCTTTAAAGTGTTCACATTTAATACTAATGACGTCAGTGTATAGTCGGTTGTTAATACAGCTGGTTCTAACATTGTTTTGTCTATAGTTTGCATGCTTACTTCATAGTGTTACCCCCCACCCCCCCTCGTTGGGATTACAAATTAGTACTTAAAATACTTTTTAACTCTAATTAATCATTCATAGAACGTGCACAAAATAAAACATTTATTCTATATATCGTGCATTTTTTGTCTTGGTGTCACCCCCCCCCCCCCCCAAATGGTGTCACCCGGTGCGGTCCGCACCCCCCGCCCCCGCCTCGCGACGCCTCTGATCTTTCGTCTGATTTTACTACACAGAAACGTGTTAACAAAAACTTAACATGGGTTTGTTAGGGGAGAGAAATCATGTTATTTTAAGTTGAACCAAAATATGGAGATAAATGTTAAAAAGTTGAAACTAAAAGAAACTAACATGAGTCCAGGATGTTTTTGATCAAAATGTGAGTCGTGTTTTTGCTTCGAACACTTCCCGCTTCGACCAAGCCGAATCCAAGATCCATAACTGTCAACAAAATAGAATCAATAATTATTTTTTTTCTCTTTTTTTTTTTTGGCCTCAGACATGTAATTTACAGCGTCAGTTGTGTGTTCGCTTTAGTATTACAGTTTTCATCATCTGCTTGTGAGGACATACAGATTTATAATAGTAATATTTCATCCAAATTATTATAGTTGTACTAATTTAAAACGATGTAACACAGTTTTTGGTCAAAAATGTTATAATTCATTCAAATACTTGAAAATCACTATTTCATCTCTGATATAAATTCCATATGTTAAGAGGAAATAATAAGTAAAGAGGTTTAAAAGTAAAGGTTACCATATAAATTTGCTATTATAACAACTAAAATGATCATTTAGATACTTTTATTAAAATGAACTTTTCAATAAATTTGCTTTTTTTTCTTTTAATTAGTACCGTCTAAAATTAACAACAGAAGAAAAAATGGATTATGTCCCTTTAACTATTCTCTTATAAAAATATGTAGAATTTTTTTTTTTTAAATATGAAAAAACAAATTCGCATGGTAAATAATTAGCACATACAATATATTTAAGGAAACGCTTTTATTATATTCACAGAAACAAACATAAATAGTTATATTCTTCTCAACTTTATTATGCATAGTAATTCAATATAATATTTTAATAATTATAATTACCTATCTAACTGAATTAAAAGTTAAATATTCTTGCATTGTCTTCCTAAATCTACTACTGCGCCTAATTTCAGCTCAATCGAACAATGAAAAGTTGCTTTAAATTAATATTCTAAAATTTGCGGAGCTACACTCGCACACACTCACACAGACACACACACACACACATACACACACACTCACACACACATATACACACACACACTCACACACACATACACACATACACACACAATCATACACACACACACATACACACATACACACACATACATACACTCACACACACTCACACACACACATACTTCGTAAAATAAAAAAAGCTCAACTCACAGACGATCATGATTCCAAAGGTCAGCAGATACACTTGGTCAAGAAAATGTTCTGGTGCCAGGTCCGAACTGCAGTCCTCACACGCCGACCAGTTTCCGGTGCCATTCGCGCCGGCCGGAGTCGTCTCGTTGCCCAGGGCAACGAGGTCGGAGGCGTCGGGTGCGAACCCAAGGGTGAAGTTGATGACATCCATGAAGGTGCTGTTTGATGAGGTGTTGAGAAGTGACACCATCTTCTGCAATGGTGTTGGCTTTACCTGGGGGGTGGAGGGGGGTAGGTTGTTAGTGATGTTAAGACTGAGGTGTTGAGAAGTGACACCATCTTCTGCAATGGTGTTGGCTTTAGCTGGGGGAGGAGGTATTAAGCTAGGCTATTAGTGAGGTTAAGACAGGTATTGACAAGTGACACCATCCTCTACGGGATTTAGCTGGGGAGGATGGGGAGAGGTTGTTAGTGATGTTAAGACTGAGGTGTTGAGAAGTGACACCATCTTCTGCAATGGTGTTGGCTTTAGCTGGGGGAGGATGGGAATAGGCTGTTAGTTTTGGTTTAGGATTAGGGATTGGGTTAAGACGGAGGTTTTCACAAGTTACGCCAAGTTACAAGTTACAAGTTACAACGATGTCGGCTTTACTTGAGTAGGAGGAAGATCCGGTTAATGATGTGTTAGGATTAGGGATTGGGTTAAGACTAAGATGTTAATAAGTGACGTCATTTTCTACAATGATGTGGGAAGGATTTCAAGATTATAATAGAAGGTTAGTACGTTCTGTGAAGGTATTTTTAAACTGCTGAGCAGGTTAGCATTGGGGATAAGTTCAAGCAGGTTTAGGATTAGGGATACCTTCAAGCAGGTTAGGATTAGGGAAGGTTCAAGAGTGAAGTATCGACAAGCGATACACTGTTCTACAACACTGATGTGGGGCTTTCGGGGGGGGGGGGAGGGGTTGATGGGGACAGCCTACTAGTGGTGTGTTGATATTTTTAATTAAGCTGTTGCTTATTTTACAATAAGAACAAAAAAAGAATAGAAGGAGGGTGTAAATGACCACTGCTTCACTGGGAGTTGAAAAAAAAATGAACAACAAACGTAAAAGGATTAAGGTTCAAACTGGGATTAAGTTTTGTGTTTATATTTTTTTAAAGCTAGGCATTGAGAGTAGTGTTAATTTCTGGTTCATGAACACGTTAATTTTTGAATGGTATGGAGGCTATAAGATAATGCTTAAAAATATTTCATAAAAAAAATATTTTGTTATAAAAATTGGCAAAGTACTTCAATATACCATTTTTTTTTTAAATTTCAATTTAATAAAAAAATTAATAGAATCATTTGTTTCAGTTATATTATTTTTATTTTAAATTCTAGAACCTATTTAAAAAAATATGGATACTTGCCATTCTATTTGATAAGACCAAATTAAAATATAAATATCCGAAGTGACACCTACCTTAGTTTAGAACAAAAAACGTTCAGGGTTTAAAAATCAGACACTTCTACTCTCTGCTGTGCCGCCTCTGTTTGTTCTTATACCTAACCGTGTTGTGATGCCGGTGGAGTCGGTGCTTTAATCGGATGACCAGTACCCTTGCGGAGAATAGGATCAGGGTTTTCAGGAGTTCTTGCATACCAGTTGACCAGAATGGCCAAGGGGGTACTTTAAAAAAAAACCAAAAAAACTTTTTTTAAAGTTTTTTTTTGTCTTTTAAGCTTCAAAATACAGAAATGAGTTCTGAAGACAGTAAGAACTGGTCTAGTTGACCAGGATCCTAAAACTGGTGCGGCTTGGCTAAGACGCGGTGCTTATTTATACTGTCTTTGATAAGTACCGGGTTAATTTGGAATTAGTCTCGGTGGGGTAGTCGACTACTGTAGCAGCAGGCTTCACGTTTGCTTATATAGGCGCAGTGTTAGGAACTCGCGAAGCGTGACGAGGAAAAACAAGTTATACTTTGTAACTCGCGAAAAGTTATTTTATAATGTTATTATTCTATAACTAGGTCGGAAAAAAAGGTGCTTGTGAATACATAAAACAAAATAGTTGCAACATCATCAAGTCGTAATAAACGTGTTTTGAAAGTAATAAAACGTGTGTAAATTTAATGGTAGGCTGATTTTTTTTAAAAACAAAATATCTGACGTATACTTCACGGATGACGTATTTTGGGAAAACACCTTAGTTAAATATAAATAGACAACTCATTCTAGCTAATCAGAAAAAACGAGGTCATGTTACAGTTCGGGTACCGCGTGACTGTTCCGGGTGAGTGGTAAGGCCATCTTTGATGTTACGATGTTTAAGGAGGAAACCCTCGTCATGGATGAATAATTGTGTACACATCTTCACGTAGACGGACGTTTTAAGACAGCTTTTTGACTTGTTTGTTCCGAACTTTTAAAAAAACTGCTACCTTTACGCTGACCCAAAAGGCGGGGAACAAACACCCGCCGTGAAAAAAAGGTCAAAAATTGTGTACAAAACAAATCCAATGGAATATGCGCTTGGAGTCAAAGAGTATGAATCATTACGTAAGATGTCGACATGTTGGTTTACATGTTTAAGGTGTCAAAGTTGGTGCAGGCTATACATTTGTTTCACGGCCCTTTATCAAGAACCTAAGATATATATATATATATATATATATATATATATATATATATATATATATATATATATATATATATATATATATATATATATATATATATATATATACATATATATATATATATATATATATATGTATATATATATATATATATATATATATACATATATATATATATATATATATATGTATATATATATATATATGTGTATATATATATATATATATATATTTATTTACAAATATATATATATATATATATATATATATATATATATATATGACTGCTTTAAAATAAGGAATCGATACTCCAAAGGAAGCTTCAAAATGTAATCGTCCACTACACCTTGGATTACGAATTATCATCAAGTTAAAAAATGGTTGGATAATTAGCCATGATTCAGTGTAAATAACACCACACACTAATCTACACCGGAACTAAATATGTTAATTAGCAGGGTAATAATTACAGGATGGATCTATCTTCTTCAGAGCGAGGTAATTAGTCACGGCCAGTGTGAAGGACTCGTGGCCTAGCATGGAACGAATTACTTAATTTGTTTGTCTTTGCCGTTTGTCAACGTTGAAAACCACCCGCACATCAATTGTATACCCGGACAGCGAACACGACAGAAACACCACTGAAATACTTCCAGAACGTTGAACACCACTGAAACACCACCAAAATGTTGGACACCACTAAAACACCATCAGCACCTTGGACATCAAACACCGCTAAAACACCACCAGAACACCACAATACAGAAATGCTATTTGAACACAACCTGAACACGATTTAACATATCCTCACAAAAGTTTACAAACAAGACCAAAGCAAACCCACAACGCAGTCTGGAAAATCTACGGATCTAAACTTAAGTAAAATGTCTAAATACAGATACGCCCCTGGTCTAAAAGCCCTGGGGTCGGTACGGATGTTAACTTTTACGTTCAAGACGACAATCCTAAAAATTTCCAACGTAAAACAAAATTTAGATTCTCCCAGACTAGCTCTTACGTGGCAACATGCCAACATACAAACACCCTAATTCGTGATCACAGCTATTGTATACAGCATACGATTAAATAGAAGGTGTCTTTTTCCCACGTTTTCTTTAACTTGCTTTCTCTGTTTGTCTGTTTTTCCAATCAAATCTTGGGATCGAAATTTCTGGCACTTCCCAGTTAGCTAGCGCGCTGAAATTTTCAGGGAAGCTTTCTTTTGGATGACCATAGAATATTCAATTGTTATTATTACTAAATTGATCAATGGAAACATTTTATTGAGCATTTTAGACCGCTATATAATCTATATATATAATTCTCCTCTGCGAGCCATTAGAAAAAAAAGAGCGACGCGTGCCTCGCGCGCAGTGAAGCGAACGATCCCACGTCGCCACAGGTTTAGGGGCAGATAATTTAGTTTGAACCAAGTTTAAACTTACAGGAGGTAGGCCAGTTTGGGGGAGACGATATGGTCGAGTGGTTGGGCACACGATTGCTATCCCACGGGTTCAAATCTATGTGATCTAGTCAGTAACGTATTCACTCAACGTGTTTTTTACGAGTTGTCTTTTTACGAGTTGTCTTTTTACGAGTTGTCTTCGTTTACCCAAAAAAAGTGAAAAGATAAAATCGATAGCAAGATTTTAATGCAAACAAACAGACAAAGACTAAAAAGTAGAAAATAATAATCATTAAAAAAGTTTTAAAAAACCCACGTTTTCTGATTGAACTAAAAAGTAGAAAATAAACGCTATACATCACAATAATGCAAGCGATCACTCTACTATAAGCGATCAAAAACGTGGGGCGCCGTGATTTTCTTACAGTTTCTAATACTGTTGACTCTCTACAAGCTCCATAATAAAAGTCAATAGTATTATCTAATCAATAGTAATATAACTTTTACTTCGGCGCCCCACGTTTTTCATCGCTTATAGTAGAGTGATCGCTTGCATTATTGTGATGTATAGCGTTTATTTTCTACTTTTTAGTTCAATCAGAAAACGTGGGTTTTTTAAAACTTTTTTAATGATTATTATTTCCTCTTAAAACATTTCATACTTCAGTTCGTTTAGCTTATATAACCATAGGCTATGCTGCTGTAAGAATACGTTGCCGTAAAAAAAGAGCTTTTAAATTATGTTCAAATTAATTCTTTTTCTTCCGATCTTATTTTATTTTAATAAAAATATCACTTTTCCAATAGCTGCACCCCATTTATTGAACTACAGTCACTGACAATCATAATGAATTGCCATTCTTATGATAATATAAGTTTTTACAAATTTGATTTGGGTACTGACTCCGGTATTTTGATAATGTAGAAATCTTATTACGATAGGGTAATCACAAATAGTAGGCGCACTTTAGACGGTGTCAGAACCATCTAGAACCAAATCGTTTAACTTCACTGACAGCCCCCAAACACTCTAGGTCACAACAGTACATTGACCTGTCACCCCCTCCTCCACCCTCCACCCACCCACACACACACACACACACACACACACACACACACACACACACATCACCCTGCCTACTCTACCTACAAAGAGATTTTCTTCCCTCGGTAAATTCTGTTCAACTACCAGCAACTGATTTCGTATTCAGCGTGACCCAGATTGCGACGTCATCAAAGGTAAGGCAGCGCTATGACGTCACCGAAAAATGTTCATGTAAACATAGGTCTAGTCTGAGGTCACCGGCTTTATAATACGCGGAGCCGGAATAATCCGGCTAGCCCAGCTCTGGACTTCATTTCAAAGATTGTATTTTGGTAAAGGTCTATCACTGTGAGAAATATTATCACAAACATGCGGTTACTTCCCTTGATTTGAGTGATGGATGACTATCAACATAAAAACTAAAACAACTTATAAACATGGGAGGTCGCTCTATCAATCAAGAAAAAAACAAGATAATTAAAGTCTAGTGACATTTATGCGCCATTTCCTTATGTTATCTAAAAATAGCTCTGACGTATAATGCTGGGGTGCGTTCAAGCTAGAAGAACGATCGGTTTGTAGGTGTTTATGTAATTTTAAAATTTGTGACCGAACGAGAGGATATTTTTGAAAACTTTCTTCGGCAGTATTGTTCTAAATTATGGCAGGAATCGATTGGTACATGTTTCAAGTCGCTAAGTGGTCTGGTTGCCGAGATATGGGCCAAAAACTGAATTTTTTCGAGGTTTTTTGGCTTTTCCGGGAAATACATGAAAGAAACCCGGAATTTTTATGGCCTATGCTCATTCTCGTAACTTGCTTAACATAATTGCTTTTGGAACTAGTCATCGATATTGCTTCGTTGAGGAGGAGATACGACTTAAAGCCCGGACACACATTCATCCATACATTCATTCATTCATCCATCCATTCCCAGAAATGACGAGTTAATAAACGCAATTCTCCAGATTGGAAATTGCGCTAAAAATACTACTAAATTTAGTAATATTAATACTAATTTGTTTGATTTTCCCAATGAATTTATAAATTTCAATTAAACAAAATCTTAATAATAAATCTTAATAAAAATGTTTAAAGGTTTGCCCATCATTACTATTAATGATGAAAATTATATGTGTATATATATATATATATATATATATATATATATATATATATATATATATATATATATATATATATATATATATATTGTCTGTATGTGCGTGCGTGAGTGTGTGCGTTTGTGTGTGTGTGTATGTTCTAAAAGGACACATTTTTTCTAAAAATTCACAAAAATTTATATCTGACGCAACCTTCATGGGTGACTTAGTAGGGGAAACCCCTTTAAAAGCCAAACCGTCGGTTGTTAGAGCCATTTAGTGAGATCGTTCTGGAATATTCCATCCACCCTTCATCTCATTTAGCCCCAGATACCTAAACAGCAAGCGTTCAGTGACCTGAATATTTATCGCCAGGTACTTTTAGGTCAGATTAGTTCTGTTGTGAATCTCTGCTGATGTGGTAGATCTGGTACTAAACGAAATAAAAACTTTAACAATACAAAAACATCTAGGAAAAAAAACTTTAAATTTGTAATGCCCTTTAATTAATTATTAAAATACCTCTATATTATACAAGCGTTACAGATTTCATGAACGATTGATGCTTTTTATAATTGATATTGCTATTACTACTATAAAGTTTTTATATTTGTTTCTTTTTCTACTTGATTGTATTTATGACTAATTGGAATTT